GGGCAATCCAGGCTGACCTTGACAGGCTTAGGAAATGGGCAGATGAGAACCTGATGGTGTTTAACACCAAAAAATGCAAGGTTCTCCACCTTGGGAGGGAAAACCTGCAGCATGCTTATAGGCTCAGCAGTGCTACGCTGGCTAGCACTATGGATGAAAGGGACTTGGGAGTCATGACTGACCACAAGTTGAACAAGAGCCATCAGTTTGATGCTGCAGCTAGTAAAGTGACCAAAACGCTGGCTTGCATCCATAGATGCTTCTTAAGCAAATCCCAGGATGTCATTCTCCTGTTGTACTCGGCTTTGGTGAGGTTGCAGCTGGAGTGCTGCATCCAGTTTTGGGCTCCACAATTCAAAAAGGATGTGGTGAAACTTGAGAGAGTTCAGAGAAGAGCCACCTGCATGATCAGAGGTCAGGAAAACAGACCTTATGATAAGAGGCTGAGAGCCATGGGGCTCTTCAGCCTGGAAAAGCACAGGCTCAGGGGCAATCTGATGGCCATCTATAAGCTTATAAGGGGTGTTCACCAGAGCGCCTCAAGGGATGAAAAGGTTGAACGGTTATAAACTCCTCCTGCAAGACCATTTCAGGCTGGGCATAAGGAAGAATTTCTTTACTGTCTGAGCCCCCAAGGTCTGGAATAGCCTGCCAGCTGGAGGTGGTTCAAGTACTCACATTGAACACCTTCAAGAGAAATTTGCATGTTTATCTTGCTTGGATCCTATGACCGCATCTGACTTCCTGCCCCTGGGGCAGGGGGCTGGACTTGATGATCTTCCGAGGTCCCTTCCAGCCCTAATGTCTGTGAAATCTGTGTGTGGAGGGCCCCTCCCCTGCAGGGAGCTCCATGTGAGTATAAGGACTTTTCTTTCACAGCCCCTTGTAGAGCTGTTGCAGATTCCTACATTTATGGGGAGATCTGCAACTGGTATTATTGTCACAGAAATTCAGTGAAGCTATTGCCATTCACCCCAGCTGAAGACCTACCCCATAATGTTTCCTGTATCAGTATGTTTTCATGTATCTGGTGCAAGCTTCATGGCTGTCTCAGCTGTACCACATAGTGGCAAGACCTGAAAGTCTTTTCATAGACATTAGGGTTGGAAGGGACCTCGGAAGATCATCAAGTCCGGCCCCCTGCCCAAAGGGCAGGAAGTCAGCTGGGGTCATAGGATCCCAGCAAGATAAGCATCCAATTTTTATACTGTATAATTGCAGGATTGATATAGTTGGAAAAAGCTTCAGTGATGATATTATACCTAATGCTTTGCCTTTTTTCTATGGGAAGCACATACAGCACTTGCTCTTTTATGCATAAACAAAGATATAAGGGTATGAACTGGGGAACAAATTGCAAGCATCAGAATAAAATGCAGTCTTGAAGCCAAGAAAACTAAACAAGTGTGGAGTCTTCAAAGACTAAGCTCTTCGTTTTTTTTCTTTAACGATTCAGAGGTAGAGAGATGTAATTCTCTCTTCACAAGGGAATTTCACCAAAGGAGTCCTAGGTACATTTGGGACTGAATTGCTGTTGTAAAGTCATTATGAGATAAAGAGCAGCAAACACACTGTGACGGGCAAGCTTGGGGTTACGTCTCAAGTCAGCCGGCCCACCTGTCTACATAGGGCAGTTTGCCCAATCAGGCCTGCTATGACTTTCCTGCATTTACCACAAGTTTACTGTAACAGCAGAGTGCCTACTCCATGCCCCAGTGCCAGGGGGCACTATCTACGGCTCCATACCTCTCTTATACTGTGGCCCATGTCTCTCATTGTAGCATACCAGATGCTATGTGCTGGCCTAAAGCCGGGTCAACTTAGTCCTTCCTCAGGTCTCATTCACTCGCACACTCACACTGCCCACCTCTCACTGAGGCCTCTTGCACTCCACCCTCTCTCACAGGGTCTCTTGCTTGCCACACGATACTGTGCCCCCTTCGCTCTGCCCTGGTCCCTTGAGTGGCTCCAAAGGCCATCAGGCTTATCTGAGTCATGCCTCAGCTGGCAACATGCAGTCTCTTGGGCCTCTCCTGCAACCCTCACCTTGGGGTTTGTGACCAGCCAGTTCACCGAACGGAGGGCTAACTGACCTAGCCCCTCACCAGGCTTCTCACACACAACTTGATTGTATGGGGGTTGGCCCATGTGCTGCCCTTCTGGCCATCCCACAGCCCCCCTGGGGCTGCCCTTCAGACTAACCCTCAGCCCTACTCACCCCCTGGCAGGGTCTTTATTACTGCCCTCTTTCTAGGGCTCCCTGACTGCCCCTTCCCTGGGGCTATGCAACTATCCCCTCCCTGGGGCCTCCAAGGTCTTTCTACCCTGCCGGTTCAGGTGGCGGCAGCTGTACCTGGCCCCACTCCTTTCCTGGGGCCCTACATCCCTGTAGCTGTGCCTGCTCCCCTTACCCACAGTGTTGTGGGGGTGGGGTTATTAAGGTGCCCCGACCCACCTTTCACCAGGGAAGTGAGCGGTCCTGGTATTTGGGTGGAGGTGCTGCACCACCGGCAGTCCCACCAGGCCTTCCTTCCCCAGCAGGATGCAGTTTTCAGTCATGCCCAGGACCAGTGAGGCCGCCTCCTTCCCCATAGCCTCACCGTTACTTCCAGGGTCTTCCAGGAGCAGCTCAGCCCAATGTTGCCTTGCTGCCTCTGGCCTATGTTTGAAAATGGCTGCCCTCACCAGGCACCCGGTGGCTGCCTGCTCCTTCCCTTACAGTGGCAGGCACCAATGGTTCACTGCCAAACACGCATGTGCTTTAACAGTCATATCATGCTCCACAAATAGGGGATGTCTATGGGAAGGACACTATCAATAGCTATACTGTGATGTTTGACAGACTGATCAAAGTATCTGATTTTGAGTGGGCTGGAGTCCTTCCAGCCTTATTCTCTACGATTCTAAGAAGGTTTCTTGAGTCCAGGGTGGACCCAAGTCAAAACAAGGAAGAACTATCTAGTGAGCTGCCCAGGTTTGGGCACTGACCTAGAATGAGGTAGGCCCAGATTTAAAATGTGGCTTCAAATTAGTCAGGGCACAGCCAGAAACTCTCACCCTGCCTCCTTCAGAAACAGTTCCAAGGGGGAACTAATGGATCTCTTCAGAACAGAAACAACTAGGGGTGCACCAATAAAGATTTTCTTGGCCGATACCGATAAGGCATTTTAGGCTAGTGACATAAACCTTTTTTTGTTTTGCATTTCTAAACACAGCCACCTATGCACACCACTTGTCTGGTCTGGCCATTGTTGGGGAAGGTGGTGACCACCTTATTCCCACACAGTCTTCCCCTCACCCACAGCTCCTACCTGCAGTCCCACTCTCCACGCTGCCTGAGCTGCTGTCACAGGTGGGCAGGGTGGACTCTTGCATGGACAGCGGTGCCAGGTGTGTTTGGCCCCAGAGCACACCGCTGCCTCGGCACTGGCAGGCCCTGCACAGCAGAGCTCCTGCAGCCACCAGGGAGAAGCCACTTTTGCAAAGGTGCCTGGTAGAGCAGAATGGCCCTTGCACAGCACTCTACCCGATCCATTCTCAGCTCAATGTTTCCATGGCAACCCTGGTGCTCAGGCCTCTGCTGTGCACCTGGCACTGCCATGGCAGCAGCAGCAGGAGCCAGTAATGTTCTGTTTATTGCTGAGCGTGGTGCCCCGTGACCATTCCCTGGCACCCCCTTCCCATCCCATTGCCAGGACCTGTAGTCTGCTGCAGGTGCCAACCAGCGCTGGTGCACAAGGACCAGACTACACTTACCAGAGTGTTCTAGGCACACGGCTATAATTATCAACTATAATGACCAAAAAAAGCCGTTTAGCCAATAACATCACTTCTCCTTTTATCAGTGCTGATTCAATAGCCAACCAATACATCAGTGCACCCCTAGAAACAGCTTCTGAAACTTTAAAACATCTTGTGAAATGTAACTTTCCTCTGGTCACTTCTTAACTCTTGACCTCCATCCTACCTCATGGAGTGGGCATGTGAAGGAATGATTTTTTTTTTTTTTTTTTTAATACAGGCAACCTCTAACCAGCAGTCAAACTATTTCACAGCTAGGGTTATATGGCTAGGGGATTTTTTAGTGTCATTCTTCCAAACCAGACTGAATTTGAAGGATCCTTGGGGCAAGAGTCCTTGGGTGGGGCATATAAATAATATCCCACATGTCTTGGCAGAAATGTTTTTTGATTAGTTTATGTATGTTACAGGACATAGGCAAAGGGATCAGTTCCTGAGAATCCTAGCACGCTACTGGTTAAGAGACAAATCTCCATCATCAACTTGTTCTGTCTTCTAGGTAAGTCCTCTAGATAATTCTGGTCGTACTAGCAGCGTCCTTTAATTACCAAAGAAGCTCCTTCCCACACACTCCTCACCCCACCCCTCCCCAAAAGTTCCTTAAACTTAAAGCTGTTGAAGTTCAACATGGCCAAAATAGCAGTCTAGTAGGGGACCACTTGCATGTCTGACATCCTGAAGGAAGAATAGAATTTGTCCAGCACTTCAGTAGTTTTTGTCTTCTGAGCTCTTTTTCCCAAAAATGGGGAGTTTGACTCACCACAGAACCACTTGGTGTTCAAGGAAGGTCAGCACCTTCTCTTCTCTAATGGAAACATTGATAGTGCTGACTAGTAACAGAATGCAGCTATACCCCTTGTCATATTCAATTAAAATATACATAGGGGACCTTAAGTACGCAGAAGAATTTCAACATCATAACCAAAATTGGCCAAGAACTCTGAGATTTTGCATCTATCGTCATTGAAAATGCTCAAGACCAGCCTTGAGATGTCATAATCTTATTTGCAGAGGAAGTGCTGTCATCATCTGGATGAATTGCAAGTGTAGTAAAGGGCACCCTGAGAGAGTGTGCACCATCTGAGGTCAGGGGGTGTTCCTTAGCTTTGAAGTGCAAAGATGATATTTTGGCCTTACAGCCAGAAGCAGATCCAGGTTTTTGCAAAAGGTGGGGTGCAGAAGCAGTGACTAGCACTGCAGGAGTGGCTGTACCCCCACTCCTAGCCTCCTCCCTGCTTCCCCATCCCCTATGGCCTAGCTCTTGCAGTGATACAAAAACAATTCCATTAAGTAATTCAGGCCAGGGGCAACCTTGCTAACATGAGATCTTGAATATGGCCAACTGCGCAGAACTCTCCAACTGCCTGGACAAAGTCAAGGGAATCTATCAGTTCCTGGATATCATGGGCTACCTTATACAACCCTACTGCTTAGTCTTCTGAAGGTACTATGTCAGTAATCCAACAACAAGGCAGACTTTGGGTCAGGATTCCTTGGAAGATGATCACTGGGGCTTGTAGGTTTTTACACCAGCAGAGCCATACACTAAGGCCATGGGAAGCTCATGCAAATAGACTTGTGTCTATGATTGGTCAAGTAGTGGACCTCAGGCAAGATGTTAGGGAGAGTAAGGGAGGGGATTTCCCACTACCCCCTCTCAACCCAGGGCAAGTTCTTTGCAAAATTGGAGACTGCAGTACTTTGTCTGTGGTTGCTTAAACTGAAGTGAAATAAAACCGGGTTAAGAATATTGCTCTCTGAGTCAAATGGTCTAGTGGTAAGGAAGAAGAGCTGCTAAAACAGGTTGGTGGAGAGGAAGGTCTATATGTGATTAGATCATCCAGATTGGCTGATGCTTTTATGTGGTATTTGCATGTTGTTAGGGACGGACAGCTGATCTGAGCCAGGTCAAGTATGGCAGAAAGTTTCAGTCCTGATTGGACTTGAGGTGTGAAGGCCTGCTTGCTAACTGGCATGATCAATCTTTGATCATGTCCAAAGACAAACTCCAAACAAAACTCAAGTGTGTAAGTAACACATTACCTCATACTGATATCTAATACGATAATCCTACTAAGAGTTGACCAAGAATTCTTTACACTTAAATTAGGTTGTTCTTTGTGGAAAGTTTTTTGACAAAAAAAATGTTGACACTTATTAATAAGTAGAAGAAAGTCTGACAGATGGAGTTCTTGAAAATTAAAGCTAGCAGAAGTAGTGATCAGCAAACTAGAGGTGCTTTTTGCTTGCTCTGGAAAGGGTTAGAGGAAGTACCCTGTCATTCTCTTGCACTAAGTTAGTAATGACATGGAGCAGGAATTGGGCAACCCTTTAAGGAAGGATTCACTACGAGTACAAATAAAGTAAATATTTGTCTGTAATGCAGCTCTGGCAGACTTTACCGCTGTGTATAGCTATAGAACTCTCAGTGCAGAGCATGGACAGTACCTGTCAATTATGGAAAATATAGAAGCAGAGACTGTTTCTTTCTTACAGATACTGGGATTGTATCTATCCAAAACATAATTTAAATTCCAGGCATGTTGCCAGCAGCTAGGATTTGTCGGTGCTGAGTATATTTGCTATTAAAAGCTCTATATTGGAAAATTACTTCCTGGAGCTGGAAAGGGGAAGTTACATTAGGGGTGTCCCAGTTACAGCTGATAGGCTCTACATATCTCGGCATGTCCTATTTCTTTATCTGCACACAGGCCAGTTGGATCAATATGTAGTAGTATGTTACATTCTGATTGCATGCCCTTGTTTGGGGTGTGGTGGCTGAGGCCAGCACCACTAGGCCAGGCTGCCTGGCTTGGCATGGGAGCTCCAGCCTAGGGCAGGTGCCACAGGCATGCCCTCCTCCTCCTTCCAGCCTGCATCAGAGGCCCATTTAGCTCCACAACTGCCTGCAGGAGCCATAGCTGCTGCACTTCAGCCCAGGCACAGTGGAGAGCACCTGGAGCCCCGTACCCTCTTCCTGCTGCCCGCAGCATGGCCCGGGCTAGAGCTGTGGTCCGCTTAAAGCTGTTGCTGTGGCGTGTGCCGCTGATCCTCTCCGCCATGCCCCAGCCCCAGCCGATGGCACGGGGCAGTGTGTGGTGCCCCAGCTGCTGCCTGTGGTTCCTCATGAGGTGTGCTGCATGCTCCTCATGTTGGAGCCTGTCCCTCCTGTGTCCCCACAGACCACCATCCTGTGTGTCCACTCGGGGGGGGGGCAGCTGGGGGCCCCTGCTGACAGGGCTGGGGATGGGGCTGCAGGTCAGGAGTGAGGGGCACCGGCAGGGCCAGGGGACTGCGTTGGGAGTCAGGAGCACCAACTGAGGTAGTGAAGGACTGTGGGTTGGGAGTGAGAGGCATTGGCAGAGAAAACCAGGATCCCTGGACATCAGTCTCTCAGCCATCTACTAACACAGTTCTGTGCTGAAGAAAAGTCTGGGTATACCTAAGTTGGTGTTCAGTACTGATACATGGGTACATTTAAACCCATTATCTCCCGCTCCCATAGGACTGACTCTTGATGTTTCTTATTACCATCCTCTTAGCAAATCAAGCTTTTGTTGTTTCACAAGTGAACTCCCCCTTGTCAACTTAAATCTGACACTTTCCCACTGAACAGGAGTGTTCGCTTTGACTTGCCAGTCCTTCCTGATATTCTTTTGCTTGTCATCTTTAGACAGCCAGGTTAGCAGTTGTGAGCATCCTCCACATTAAAAAAAAAAATGTATATAGCTCTTTCATGCTCATATTCTCTAATGCTTTTTCCACGGCTGAGATAACAGGAACAGTCTAGTCTTGCTGCTTACGTGTGAAGGCAAACTTGTACTGATTCCTAGTGTCTTAAAGGCCAGAAATGTGCTGATTTCAAAGAGAAGCTTGTGAAAGGCCAGCTTTGTAAGTGCATTCCTGGGGGAGGCTGTGTTGTGAAAAATGCAGTACTGCTCAGCAGGCATCTCTGGCAGGTTGTGCAGGCTGTTTTCACTGTGTTCTTTGCAAATCCTTTTAAGATGGCAAGATGTGAGAGTCTGTTTCCCCACTTCCTCATAGCTTTTCCCTTACTCTCTTGCTTTTCCTTCTTCCTTGCTTGCTCTTCACTTTGCTTGTTTTCCATCATATGACCATTTTGCCAAGTTTATCTTCTCAAGCCAAAACTGCAAGTGTACAATCCTAGTACAATTGTACAATTATTTCTGGTACAATCCTGGCATGCAGGAGTTTGGAATCTGTGTCCCACTGCTTTCAGTAGCACTGTTAATGCTGTTGGCAAACTGGCAGTAGAAAGCATACATGGGAGTTACTACAGAAAGTATAAGGTGCCTGATCTTGTCTTCTGTGGAGCTTAACCTACGAGGAGACACTGCTGAATAAGCCATTTCCAATGTGTCTAGGATCAAACTGTTTACAAATAGAGTCCTAGCCAGTGTTGAAATGAATTGGCTAGATCAGTCTAGGTACTTGTAATGGGCCACATTGCTGTATGATCAGAATGCCTTTAAACACTGTTCCCCAGTTTGGCTTGAAAGCTGGTTTGACAGGATGTTGGAATGAAAGAACATACCTGTTTATCAGAGTGTCTGAACTCTGTACTGCAGTGCAGTTTTCCTAACCCCGGAGAAGCAGTTGTGTAGATTTCTTAGCTTTGGTCAGCTTAGGAGGTTTTTAAAGAATGTTTCAAGCTTTTCTACCAATAAAAGTAGCTGGCGTCCAAGGAAGGGGTCCAGTGCTTGTTTAGTGAAGCAAGACTGCAGAGAAGGCTAGGGGTGGAGAAGCAACATTAAATATGTTGTGTTCCACTGAGTTAAATGTCTGAATGTATCATCTCTCATGGGAGAAGGTGTAAGAATGCTTTTACAGGGTACATCTACACTTACAATTAATGTGATGCAATAAACTCTAGAGCAGTTTGAGCTGGAGGAAATTGCTTCAGGGTGCAGTGTCTATGAGTACGCACAGGACAGCAGCAATTTGAGCTGGAGCAGAGCAGGCCCCCAGCTGGCTGGGTTGACAGGGCACAACTTGCTTCCCTGGTCAGCATCTACCTGTGCATTTCAGTGCAGTTAATTACTCTGCTGATGGTACTGTCTTACGGCAGAATTAATTAATTTACTGTGCCCTAAAGCCAGCACACGTGTAGATTGTGACACTTTACTATGGAGCTAATTAGTTTACTTTGCAGTAAAGTGCACATGTAGATGCACCCACAGAGACTTCCATCAAGTTCACGAGTAACTATTCTGCTACTTGCAGCAGACTCCAAATCTGAAAACACAGGTGAACTTTTATTTTTTGTAGAAGGCTTTTTTTGGCTGGAGAGAAGCTTGGGTACCATGGGGAGTTTAGTACTGGCTTCTGTATTCAGAGAAGATGGGTCAAGAGGAAGTTTCTTCTTATCTTTTCTTGTCTGAATCCTGTGTGGGTTTTTGGTTGGTTGTTATTGTTTGGTTCATCTCCTTCTCCATGTAGGGATGGCGGGACTTGTGGCCATAAGGTTCATATAGGGCCA